TTAGAAATATATTTGCTATATTAGTTCTACTGACATCATCTTAGTAACATTTTCATAGCAATAGTTACCTACGCCCCTCAAATATCGTAAACTGTAGTAAACTTGATCATATTGGCCCTATTGCAGTAGTCGCCGGTTATAAAGCCCACGGTTAATACGCCCAGCCGCTTATTAAGCCCAATTTGGTCTGGGCCCAAGGTGGGCTTAATAACCGGCGACTACTGTAATGTGATAATCTAGCCTGCATTGTTCTATGAAGCTCTTCATGCGTACCAAGCGGACGTTTAAACAAGTAGCCCTATTCTTTAGTTCTGTAAAAAGCCTTCCTTTTCCTCATTTTGGCTTTGTTTTAGTTTGCGTCTATTTTTTTCACGAATACTTGCAGAATGTATTTAAAAAATAAACAAAAACAAACATCAGGAGTTCGCGTTTGAAAGTAACTGAATTTATCTTCATCTGCTTAAATACTGTGGGCTTCTGAGAGTTTATCGTGCAGACGGGCGAGTTAGTTCAGTTACCAGCTGCGTGTACGCGATATTAGTTAGTACGCGTGCTGGGAGAATTTGAAAGCAGTCAGTATCCTCTCCACTATACACTTCCCACTAAAATAAGTACAAATAGCCCCGATAGAAGCGCAAGAAACACGCTGCTGCCTTTTCTTGCGGGTATTATAAATGAGTGACCACCTTCTAGGTCACAAAATGACCGGCGACAAGGCGATGGGAAGAGATAAAGCAACCGTTCAACTCTTTTTCCTGCCTTCCGCAGCCAGCATTTCAACTCATGCGAGTAGGCCCAGTCAGAGGGAGGAGATAATTTGATTTGAATTGCCGATCAGAGGGGTGTACACTCATACAAATGTAGGTAAATACTCGATTCACCCCGGCGTAGACTGACTGGTAGTAAAGCACGGTGCCGCCAACCCACTGGTTGGGCTTCATTTGATTAACCTGTACGCGGTGTGTGTGTGCTCCTGGCGTGGTGTCTGGATAGGCATTGAAAAGTCTGTGCCTGCCCCGGGAAGGTACGAATAAATCCGAAAGAGCTGTTGTCTCGATCTCCACCTTATTTTTTGCCCATCTACGTCTAAGAGGCGGACACATTAATTCGAATTAATTTTGTGCAGTTGCCCAATTTAATGCTTATGTTCCCTCTACTCTTTTTTACTTTCGATTTGTTGCTTTTCATTTGCTTAACAGGGTCCATTTATCGAACCTGGAAGGAGTCCCGCCCCCACTTTTTACTCAGTCACTCTTCCTCCCCGAAACTTCTCCATCAGCGCGGAGTGAGGGCCATTTCCGAAATAAAAGAGCCTGTGGTGATCCACTCTCTTGTCTACGACTTGGGACTACTGCACTGTGCTGAGGGTCACACTACCGCCTCTCTCCAAAGCCTCCTTTCGGAACTGGCTCCCTTGACTGAACGAAAAGGTATGGTGGGAAAAAATGTCTCGGTGGGCGCGCTTGGTTATGGAAGCGGCGATAGGCGTGACGTTTACTCGGGATTGTCGTTAAATTTGCGCCTTTAAATCTTGGTCGGTGACAATCAAACTTTTAGCTGATTTACAATCGTCAGCCAGGGTTACTAATATATGCAGCCTTCGTAGGCGGTTAGAAGTGCAACATATTTCTTGATTATTCCATTCCCCATTATTCCATTCCCTATATGATGTAGTATTAGGTGAAGACACACAGAACTGAGGTTTGAGCAGGGTTCCAGTCTGTTAGCGAGCGTTTGGGTCATGAGATTACGTCCTATTGATTGGTATTCACTGAATTATCCTTACTACAAGGCGGGATAAGCGCCATTCTACGAAGGCGTAGGCGACGAGACAACAGACTTGCCTGCTAGGCCTGCTAGACCACAAACGCCAGGTTTAGTCCGACTGACGGGATATGATAGAGGAGGGGAGTTCCTCAAGCATGTTTCCAACCTGGCACTAAACTCACGTTGCTTTATCTGACGAAGAGCGGCCCCGGCCCCGATGAATTGTGTAGCTGTCGAAACAGGACACGGGAGTAGGAACGCCCCGCGCACTTGAAACGAGGTGGTCTTGCGATAAATTTCAGGAAGGGTAAATATTCCCATTTCTTCGCTCCAACACTCGTCCTAACATAAAACGAAACTGCAAATTTAGCCTTAACTCTAGCCTTATCTCAAATCTAAGCAGTACGGTTAACACGAACCCAAACCTTAACCCTTTACCGAATCCTAACCCCAGGCGTGGCCTTAACCCTTACCCTCACCTTAAATACTAAACCTAATTTACCGAAATTTGCTGCAAAGCCACATGCATTATGGGCTGTTTCTGCTCCCGTGTCCTGTTTAGGGTGCCATAAAACTCATCGCTATCCTCTTTCCTTTTAGACTACTTACCTGTAATAATACTAGCTTTAGGGTCATTGACTTCTACATATCCACCCCCCCTGCCTGAAGGCGCCTATTGCGTCTAAACTTCTTCCTTCAAAGAAAAGGTGTATTTGAGTCCGAGTTCGTTTTAGTTTCCTCAATGTTTAGTTGTGCATGTGGTCGAATTTACTGTTGGTTCATCCCTCTATCCATTGCTTTATTGTCTGCTTCCATCACTTTATGTCATTTAGGCTCATCAGTTAATGCTCCTCTGACGTATTTTAGCAGGTGCAAATTAATCGATAACCCTTGGTCTTTGTTGGCCTCGATTAACGGCTGCCGACCACGCTATCTTTTCATCTCTTCTTTCCTTTTTTAGAGCTAGACGCCAGCCATATTTACGATCGATTGCCACTCTCAATCGCCGCACGGGAGACCTTGGCAAGCTGCAACGTTGGCTTTGTCTGGGTAAGGGTTTGATTCCTAAATTATGTCTTAATTCCACCCCAAAATAGTCCTTTACTTAACCCCCAATCGACATCAGCTTTCTTTTCTGGTCTATACTCAAGTAACCTTTACGGATGTGTATGGAATGTTTGTTTTTACCGGCCCGATCACCATATAGTTTCTTTCTGGAACTGATTTCGAAACAGTCCCCTTGAAGGCGTAGTCATACATTTACCTTAGTGACCCATATTGCTATGAAGGTTTGAGAAATTTAGGCAGATTTGTCTTCCAAATCCTCAACGGTGCCTTCGAATGAATATCTAGCGTGCAGGGTGACCATACTGCGGCGACTGTTTTTAATGGCTGCTAATTATCTTCATCTTCAATACCGCCGTGGTCTCTTGATTCCTGTTACTCCTGCCGGTGATAGCCGAAAATTATAGTTTTCGGACCTAGCAACTTCCTTGTTCCATAGTCAGTCTTCGCCGAATTTCTTCTTCGGCCAACCATGTGATCAGCCGTTAGGCCAGCAAGCGTTTGTTTGTCTCCATGGGTTCCCCTGTAGAAGTAGCTGCCACCTACTGCAGGACCACCACACTCGTCTACCGCCTCCAGTCCGTCTAAGGCTAGGTGAGTCTGGCAACTACTTTCAACTATGAGCTGTCAACGTTTCGTGTTGCATCTGCTATTAACAGCTCGAACTCCCTGTCCAAAATATGCACCTCTACATTTTTATTCTCTCTTTCTTAATCTTGTTGTTATCCTCTCCCCTTTCACTGATTCTCCTATCCCCCTAGGATGGTCCTCTGCAACAAGGTAGCGTCGTCCTCTATCGCGTGGAGGCTCTGTTGGTTGTTGCCCATATGTACCG